TTGAACACTAGTGAGCGAAGACCAGATAAGTTGTGGGAGGATATCAAGGGTATCATCCAGGAAGAGTGCAAATGGTCATTGCAAAGACAGAAGAGGAAGAGAAGACCAAGATGAAAGTTAGAAGAGACTCTAAAAATTGCACTGGAGCACAGAGAAGCCAAAGCACAAGGAAGAATTCAAGATACAAAAGAGTTGAATAGAAGATTTCAAAAGGCAGCGCGGGACGACAAAGTGAAATATTACAATGAAATGTGCAAGAAGTTGGAGTCAGAAAAGCAAAAGGGCTGAACTCGCTCAGCATTTCTTAAGCTCAAGGAACTGAAGAACAAATTCAAACCTAGAGTTGCTATAGTAAAGGACGCTATAGGAAGAATATTAAATGATCCAGGAAGTATTAAAAGAATATGGAAAGAATGTACTGAGTCACTGTATCGAAAGGAATTAGCAGATACAGAATAACTTCATGAAACAACATATGAGCAAGAGCCTATGGTGATGAAGGAAGAAGTTCAGGCTGCTTTGAAGGAAATAGCAAAAAATAAGGCCCCAGGAATAGATAGTATACCACTTGACATATTTCACTTAACAGATGCTGCCGTGGAAATGCTCACCAAGTTGGCCAAGAAATCTGGATGACAACCACTTGGCCAACTGACGAGAAGAGGTCTATATTTGTTTCCATCCCAAAGAAGGGTGACCCAACAGAGTGTGGAAACTATAGAACAGTATCATTGATTTCACATGCAAGGAAGATTCTACTGAAGATTATCCAAAAACTACAGGAACAGCACAACAGCAGAGAACTGCCAGAAGTCCAGGCTGGGTTTAGAAGGGGTTGTGGTACTAAGGAGATTGTAGCTGATGTTAGATGGATCTTAGCTGAAAGCAGGGAATACCAGAGGAATATATATCTGTGCTTCAATGACTATGCAAAGGCGTTTGACTATATGGAACATAAAAAACTGTGGCTGACTCTGAGAAGAATGTGAATCCCAGACCACTTGACCATGCTAATGCGAAACCTGTACTGGGACCAAGAGGCACTCATCAGAACAGAGCAAGAAAACACTGCATGGTTCAAAATTGGGAAGGGCGCACACCAGGGATGCCTTTCTGAAGGGACTTGGCAGATGGGAAGTGTTATCCTGGTTGAGGGTGGAACTGGGAAGTAATAAGTGGGTCAAGGCTCTGGGCTAAGGGTGGGGTCAACACTGTAACTAATGCTTAACTCCACAATAAGGGATTTATCTTTCACTGCTTCACAAATTGCTGTCTG